TCAGAAATTGGAAATAAAAAGACAAAGAAAATAATGACAAGAGAAAGAAAGACAGAGAAAAAGGAAGAAAGAAAGACAGAGAAAAAGGAAAAAAGAAAGAAAAGAAAAAGGAAGAGAGAAAGAGAGATAAAAAGGAGGAAAGAAAAAAGAATAAAAAGTAAGAAAGAGAGACAAGGAAAATGAAAGAAATAAAGACTGAGGAAATGAAGTAAAAAGACATTCAAAAAAGAAAAAACAGAGTAAAAAGGAAGAAAGAATGACAGAGAAAAAAGAAGAAAAATAAAACAGAGAAAATGAAGGAAAAAGACAGTGAAAAAGGAAGAAAGACAGTGAAAAAGGAAAGACGATAGACAGAGTAAAAAAGACGAAAGAAAGACAGAGAAAAAAGGAAGATAGAATGATAGAGAAAAAGGAAGGAAGAGAGACAGCGAAAAAGAAGAAAGAAAGACAGAGAAAAAGGAAGAAAGGCAGAAAGGGAAAAGAGAAGAAAGAAAGAGAGAAAAAGGAAGAAGGAAAATATAGAAAAAAGAAGAAAGAAAGACAGAGAAAAATAAAGAAAGTCAGAAAGAGAAAAAAAAAGAAAGAAAGACATAGAAAAAGGAAGAAAGAAAGATCGAGAAAAAGGAAGGAAGAGAGAAAGAGAAAAAGGAAGAAAGAAAGCCAGGCAAAAAGGAAGAAGATAGAAATGCGATAAAAGATAAATTGAAAAAAGATGCAAAGAAGAAAGGATAAAATTAATAAATTATGAAATTCTGACAAACAGAAAAAAATAGAAGAAAATAAATTGGAGAAAAAGAAAAACTTCATAAAATTTAAGGAGAAAATTAAAAAAATTAAAGAATTGAAAAAAATATAAAGTTGTAAACATCGACAAAACAAAAGAACGTATAAAGGGAAATGAGACAATACTATATTGTAAAAGGAAAAAAAGAGAGAGAGAGAGAATGAAAGAAATAAGGACGGAAGGAAAAAAATAAAGAGATGTACAGAATTAATAAAAGAAAGAATTAAAGAAAAGTGTAAAATAAACTGGAATAGAAGGAAAGAAAGTGATGAGAAAATGAATAAATTATCAAAATGCTACAAACAGAAAAAGAGATTAGAAAAAATAAATTGGAAAAGATAAAACCTAAGAATCAAGGTAAAATCAAATTTTAAAAAATTGAAAAAAAAAATTAAAAAATGAGAAAATATAAAATAACTAAGAAAGAAAGTAAAAAAATGAAAGAAAAAAAAAGAGAATATGTTAACTTAGAAAAGAAGGAATCGACAATCAAATGTAGAAATTAATAATGTTAATGAGAAAATATCGAACGAAAGAGAAAGCCAGCAACAAAAGTAAGTAGCAAAATATACAAACAAATGAAAATACATAAATATTAAATAAAGAAAAAAAAAGTCTTAAGAAAGAATTACTGGGAAAAATGACGAACGAATGAAGAAAGAAAAAAAAAACAAAGAAAAACCAACAGTCGAAAATACGTGAGAATGAAAGCGAAAAAAGTCAATGAAAATGACGGAAGCATAAAAACTTTCAAAATGGAATACAAGAAAGAATGGCGAGAAGAATAGAAATTAGAAATTCGAAAAAGACGAAAAGAAAAAAAAAAAAAAAAAAACAGAAGAGGACCTAAAGAGAATAAGGTAAAACTGCTGTCCATATAATCCGCTTTACCCATGCGCACACTAAGCCCTCTGCTTTATCCATTTTGGTCTGCTATCGACGCGATATTTCTTTCTTTTCATATTTACTTTTTATACGCATTTCTTATGTCTGCGTTTCTGCTTTTTTGTCTCTTTGGGTGTTTCGCTATAGAGGACTGGCTAGCGTTCTTATTGGCCAGATTATTAATCCTCTCTACTGACTTTGATTCTCAATGTGTGGCCTACAATTGAAGTCAGGGTTCAGATTAAGCTCATTCAATGCCTGTTGGGCGTCTAGCAGTGGAACTATCGTTTTAAAGTAGTTTGGCAAAAAAAAATCCGACTCTATCGGAAAGAGATGAATTCTTTCGGATCGTAGTACGGAAAGAAGGCTTCAAGAATTTAACACCCTCAAGGCATATTGATGTCAAGAGAGCAGAGAATGAAGGCGTAACCAACTTGAAGAGTTTGGCTTAACGAATAGCAAAACAAAGAAAATTAAGACAAAAAGAGAGGTAAAAGAAACAAGAATTATGTTTTATCTTTAATAAAATTTACATAGTAATAGACTTGAGAGCCACTCAAGATAGAGGATTATTGTTAATGGTTATGATGAATGAAATCTGTAATATGAATAAAAGAGGAGTTGGTAGAAAGTGAAAATTATGAGAATATTATATTACATAGAATGACAAAAGATAGAAAGTTGTGGAGGACCATGATAGCCTCATGGCCTAAAATAATATGATAGAAGTACATGAAGTAGAAGTGAATTGATTAAATTTGCCATTTTGGATTAAATTATAGTAGTACATCTCCTTTTTCTGTCATCGGTATACCTTCGGGCAATTCGCGGACAAGCAGAAAGAGAAGTCTCGTCACAGGGATTCCACCTCTTCAGCAGCATCTCCCCCAATTTTAAATAAAGAGATGGAGCATTTTTGGATGCAAACGCCAATGTAAATGTGGACACGGGAACAGGACAAGTTATCCTTGGGCCATATAAATACGTGTGTGCACCCTATATTAAACCATTTTTGCGCTACGTCAAGCCATTCCGGGGAAGCGGGTGAATAACATATATCATTTATTCTACCAAATTTAGTACCAATCCTCGGTAAACTCCGTGTGAAACCTCATCCCGGGAATTCTAACCCCGCGGCAGCACTTCCCTCATTACACTAAAGATAGAAACTTGGTGCATGCCAACGACAGTGACACAGTATCTCGGTGACAGTGTATGTTTTGCTCTTAGCCTGTACGTACGTGTTTTGCATCCCACGGTAAACCGGCATACCACCGTGGTGACGTGGGAAATTTTTCTTTTACTCGATCTTCGGTAGAGTGTAGAATGTGTTCTTTTCCTATGTCTTATTTATCTTCTGGCTTTGCAATGAAAACAGCTTGAACCCGGGGATTGCAAATCTAAAGGAGTATCTCCCCTATTGCATTAAAGCATGAAGATCGGCAAATAACGACGCCAACGTCACATTGACCACGGGTTCTGAACAATCTTTGTTCTATACGTAGGCCTATGGTCATCCTCCGCTAAACAGATCATGTGTCAGGTTTTAGCACAGTTGGCGGTTGGTAATTATCGTTTCTGTAGTGAATTCAGTCTCACTGGGTGATCCACAATAATGCCTATTAGATGTACCTATTGCCGTACTAGAATTTTCAAGGTTAATTATTTTCCTGTGAATATTTTCGTAATGTTGGGTGAGCAATATCTGATAAGAAATATGGTATAAATATTCTTTAAAGAACTGTTTATTTATATTTCAAATTAATGAACGCCAAATCTATGTTATGTGGTTTCTGTTTTTTTCTTTGAACGCTTGATGTCAAGTATTCTATATCTCTTCTGTCTTGTGTGTGTATATACTGTTCAGCTAGGTTCACTTCTTTGTTTGTGTTGGTGCGCTTATAGATATGTTTGAGGCCCGATTATGCTCTTAGTGGCTATAAGGTTACCTTCTACGTCAATCTACGGAAATTCTCGGTCTATTGACGTACATCATTTTTATCTCCTCGGATGAACACAGTGCATACTTGGATCAAATCTTGCTAGATAAACGTCCCTGATTCAATTCCAAGCTTTGGCATTTGCTGGTGTGAATCATATAACATTTTTTGATATGTTGTCTTCACTTTTATTAATATTTTCTCGTTAAATTATGTTTTCATTCATTTTTTTAAGTTAATTTTTCATTTTAATATTTTTTTAATGATTGCTTTAGAAACTGGCATTACTGTTTAAAATGACATTTTATGAACCCGATTTGAACAACAAACAAAAACATGACATCCAGTAGGTATTGCGGATTTTAAAAGGCTAACGATATACTGACGGTGATGGAACATGGAAACATACCTGCTCTATCATCTTTACTATAGTGTGTGTCTCACTGCTTCAGTGTTTGTAATGTTTATTTTAACTTGGAGTTTTATCACCAATCCAAACAGAAACATTCCATCTTGAGCACAAAGATTTCTTTTAAGTGCATATTTACCTCACTTTCTTCAGACTGCCACGTTGCAAACTGTTTGCAACTTCTTTTATCCGGAAACTGTATCTCGGATCTGTAAAAATAGGCTAGAATTTTCATAATAAGGATATTGGATGTAAGCTTGGGTCTTACAGAGGCAGAGGATATAATTTCCCACACACCCACATACGACAAATTATATTTATATAGTAATAGTCCAAATTTCCAGAATTAACATCCACACCTAAAAAGAACATCTTTACACCAATAAATAATATGGCTTCAGTCACTTACTCGCCGACGTGGAGAGGCTTCCCTCTGTCTTTTCAACAAATATTTTCATAGCAACTGCTCTGATAAGCTTTTTTTTCTAGTGCCCCGCCTAAATGAATTTAAGCAGGCAACTAGATTTGCATCTAGGTCCCACCTGCTTACTGTTGAAATAGTTAAATGCAAACTCCATATTTACTCCAACAGTTTCTTTTCTCGCTCTTCCCGCCCGTGGAACTCCCTTCAGTTTACTTGCTTCTCTAATAAATACAATCTCCAAAAATTTAAATGAGATGTCAATCACAATCATCTATCTTCCTGAATCCCGTTCATAATTTGTCATTTCCTTACTCCTGCCCATCAGCAGTTTTTACTCTGGTTTTCACTTCCTGTAACTTCCTTTGTATTAGTAGCATTCCCATCTAATTTGAGTTGAAAAGATTAAAAAATATTAGCTAAAAATGGCTACTTGTTCGAAATTGTTTAATATGGAACGTAGGTATTTTGTCTCTCATTATTAAGCATTTTTTTATTCTAGTTTTCAGAAAACTGCTGAAAGAATTGACTGAAATTGTGCATTGTTGATACCCGGGGTATATCCTATATCGTTTACATATATAGGAAAAGAATAGCTGTCAGTTGAAACTGACACCAGGTGAATCTGTGTTTATTTATTTGAAAAAGGGAGACAACTCTTTGGTCGGCATTACCGGCACCTAAATAAATGATTAATGAGTATTCAGACAAAGAAACGTGTTTTTTAGGAAGTTTAGAAATAGCGAATAATACTCCTGAAAGATAAAATGGTATATTTTACCGTGAAGTTTACCCTGTACAAGACCCGGTAACCACTCGAGGTAGCGCGTTACATTAAGAGGCAGAGTTATTTAGGAGCGGAAGATAACGGTTAATTCTCGACTTGAACAGGTTAAGATTGAAGTCATCGGGAAAACACCCTCTTGGGAGTCGGTTCCTCACCGATAGAGCAGGGAGGGAATGTGGGTGATTTTCTGCAATGTAAGTGGAATGGTGGGTCCTAGCCGTGAAGGGTATAACTGTCGGAACTATGGAATGTAGTAAGCCCGAGTACTTTTCGTGGAAGTAGTGACAGAGCAGTGAGAGGTTTACCACTTCAAATCTGTGAGAGAGGTGGTTAGACAGTGGAACACAGAGCAATAAAGTATGAACCAGGCGAAAAATGGCGAGCAGAACATCTTCAAAAGTGATGGAAAAATCAAACGTAAAATGGAACTTATGAAGCGTAAAGAAATAACGATTTATAATATAAAAGAAGAGTTAATTCTGTATCCGTCACACATTGTCTTCGTGTGGCTTTTTTATGTGCGTATAGAATTTCAAATAAGATATTCAAAAAATAGATTTCCCTTTCACTCAGTTTGGACAATCCCTACCCTGAGCTGTGCGGAAACATCATCATTTTGGGGTCAAGAAAAACCCGTTAAACCCTTAAAAAAAAAATTAAAAAAAACATAATTATACAATTTTATGGAAATCTTTCGGTAATCGATATAATTGATTTTCAAAGATTTAGAAAATATCTTCAGCTTTGTTATTGAATTAAAAATATACATGCATACACTCAAACATAAATACAAACAAATCAAACTAAACTTCTCTCGATTAATTAATTAATTCTGCCTTCCACCAGCATGGCTGATGCTAACTTCCAGGAAAATGACTTGTGTGTGCCTTCTAGGGCTAATTTTCTCGGCTGACATGAAGTGGAAAGATTATATTGAATCCTTTGCTAGGTCAGCTGCTAAGAAAGTCGGTTCACTGTGTCGTGCGAGACAATTTTTCCATCCGGAATCTATCGATAAGTCTACATTCGTTCATTCTTAGAATATTGCTGCCATATATGGTCCGGTGTCTCTGTTATTTACCTGGAGCAGTTTAATAAGATCCAAATAAGAATCAGCAATATTATCGGTCCTCATATGGCAGCTCGTCTTCAGTCACTTACCTACCGCCGTAAGGTTGCCTCTCTGTGCCATTTTTTATAAAGAATTTCTTCGCTATGGTACCTTAACTTTATGAATTTAAGCGCATTGAATAAAGACGTTTGTTAGACCCAAAGAACTGTGAGTTCAATACCAGGCTAC